AGGGGCTGTGTGAACCAGGAAACATCCCGTGTTCTGCCCTACCCCCACGCTGCTTCTGGGACACATGGCAAGAGCACACAGTGTCTGAAACGCTCACAATGACATGTGAGTGTCAATGTGACTCTTGGCATCTGCCTCCATAGCTGTGTCCCTGCCTGGCCTGAGATATGAACCCATCGCTTCTGCTGCCTTCTTATCCCTAACTTATTGGTTTACTTGCATGACCAATTCTTCCGGTGCAGAAAGACCTGCCTTACGCTTATCCCTCTCTTTGACTGAGGATGGAGAGTAGCTGATTTGGGACAAATCTACCCTTTCCTTGCTCTGGTCACAAAAAAGCCAACTGAGAACAAGCCTTAAGGAGTCTGTTCCCGACAGAAGTGTGCAAGGGTTTGATATATATGCCGGTGTATGTATAGCACACTTCTCGACAGTGTGCTGGGCCAGTGGGTTTCCAGTAACTAAACAAACCAGACAGAAACGGCATTTCCCTCATTTTCACTGCCTTGTTTTCTCATTCCTTCCAGGCGCTCTTGCCTGGTTTTGTCAGGAACTGCCAAACATCAGCAAATGAGAGGGGAGAACTGCAGCAGAAGAAGAGCACATCAGGCTGTTGACCAAGGTCCTTCCCTTCAACACACCTGCACTCAACCCCTTAACCAAACCAGCAGCAGTTTGGTACAGGCTCCAAGGGAGGTAACACCCTGAGCCACAGCTGGGCCAAGAGCTCTTCTGGTTCCAATCTGTCCCCTGGAAACCCACAAAGGAGCAGAGTGACCCAGTGAGCATCGAAGCATGTGAGCTTGGAACACCCATCACGCTACTGACACATGAATAGTGGGGTGGCTTTTCCAAGACTCATTTATCAAGGAACAAAGTAAACTGTGGGTACAAGGAGTCTCACGCATACCTTTTCCATCACAGGCAATCTGATCGCGAGCTAACTTTATCCCGTAAATATGACAGCCTAAGGGAGCCTTCTCTGCGCTCTCCCCGCTAGGCAGCGTGGCTGCACGGTGGTGATCTCCCCTCGAGCTGGGGTGCCTCTCAGGGTTGCTCCTCAAGGCAGAGAGACCTTTACCAATGGCAGATCTTCGGATAAGTCCTATTTGAGCTCTGCCTGAATTGCATCTGGACTGCACACCTGGTAACTCTCCCCTTGAGCAGGGACACCTCTCAAGGTTTGAGACTGAGATTCCTTACCAAAAACTAAGAGATCCTTCCTTACCCAAGGTGGAAAGATCCCTTACTCACCACAGATCCTTGGTAAGTGACTGATAGTATACTGAATTAATATTAATGAAACATTACTATTCCATGTAGTTACTCAATATTAATTATTATAAACTTTGTATAGGTCATTCCATTAGACGTAAACTGTTGTCCAAGTCTGACAGTAAGATTGGACCCAGGCACACGTAGGCTCCATAAGGAGTTTAGAAAGCAAGGGGGTCCACTCTGAACCTCATGCCTCAATGGGAGGGGAGGGTCTTCCTTACCCTCTGCGTCTCTGTGTGAATCGTTCTAACTCGATTCTAACTCAATTTTCCTTTGTATGTTTCTTCCATGCAGTAATTAATAAAGTGAACCTTGCCATCCAACTTATCAAACCTTAGTACGCCACTGTTAAACTTTGTTAAATTCCATCAAATTTATTGAACTCTGTCAAATTATTATTTTACCCCAATAAAACATGTCACTGCTTCTCTCTTTTCAGTAGTAAAAGGTGCATCCCAATCATCCATGACAGCAGAGAGGAAAAGAAAAAAGAGCATCTATCTAAAAATAAAATTATTGAACATTTAGGTGTTGCTGTTTTCATCAGAGATTCATGAATGTTTTAAAGCTTTAGTTTGCTTGGTGCTTCTCAGACAACAGACTCGGTGAAGGGAAAACTGCTGTATTACTACATAAACGGTTCTAAATGCCAAGCGGCTCTTTGTAGCCTCTGGGCACAGACTGGCCCAGAAACAGCGGGAAGCAGAGGGCTGTGGTTACGAATGTATAAGTGAAGGCATGGAGGCAGAGAGGGAATGTAAATGGGAGCTGATTTCTTGGTCAAACTTTGCCTGCAGTTGTGCATTTAATGAAGGAGTCCTAGCCTTAAATGGGTCTTGTAGTCCTTCCGGGAGACTCAGACTCAGTAATGGACTGGTTTTCTTTCTACAGGTAGTATGAAGACTAGACACGCGGGAGCCCACCTGTACCCCCCAGCCAAAGGATCTCTCCAGGCTGTGATCCTGCAAAGAAATGCAATGGGATAGCATCAGGTTTCCAGGGTCTTAAGTTTGGAGGTATCACCTGCTACTTCAGAAAATGCATGAAAAGTGCATTTTCAAATGCACTCAAAAATTGGTGGGGTTGGAGGGGTAATTTGAAGTGACATAGGAAGATGGGTGGGATACATGTTATCAGGTGAGAAGGGGAAGGGGTAAGAAGAGCGGCTGCTTGCTGCTGGGTCAGTGTTGTGGCAGAGGGCAAGCCAGAGAGACGCAGAAGCAAGAGGTGAGGTCAGGTCACACCGAGATGGGGGAAATGCAGCATTTCCCAGGAGGCCACGGGGGGAAGGAGCAGCAATGAAGAAAGAAATGAAGTTCCGGGTGGACAGAGGCTGTTAGGACTACCTAGCCATGGGCATGCCACGAGCAGGTCCCTGCTGGGGATGGGTCACCTGGAAGGGGCAGGAAAGCTGGTGACAGGGACAAGTTCTGTGGTTGGCACCAGGACAGGAGGCCTCCTAAGCCTCAGCCAGCCACCTGAGGGCTACGCTTTACAATACCGATGGATAACTCTGAATGAATCCTGACATTTTATCTACACATTTCACCTGACGTAATTTCCTCCTGTCTAGTGTCATTTGATCCACCTTCTAAATCCAAACTTCAACATGCAGTTACCTAGAAAAAAACAGAAACACTCCTCACACATAGGAGCCTAGAAGCTAGAGTTCAAAGCACAGAAACCAGTAGCTCAATATTAAGTCACACCGCCCTGTCAATTAGAAGGAAAAATAAAAACAGGTAACTCCGAACCACACGAAGCTTTATGCATTCAAAAACACCGATAGTGTTTTATTCAGAAAAAATACACGGCCTCGCTTGGAATGGGATTAACATTCACAGGAGATGACATTTGCCATGATTATGTGAGCCAGAAACATTGCTCCAACAGTACAGGAGGATGTGGATAATCCTCACAGAGGCAACAAGACTGCCAGCTCCTCCCAAACGCCTGCACAGCCATTCCCACTGACCTGTCTTAAGTTTCTGCTGGTGTTGAGTTGATCTTTGGTTCTGCCTTCAACTAGTTTATTATTTTCTGGTTCAGCTTCTCTATCAGTCCATCTTATTTAAACTATGCTCTGTAATTTTTTTTTTGAGCTTCACATTTTTTCCTAGGAGACTTTCTAGACTTCAGCCAGATGGGGCTTCTCTTCTTTCCCTTGGCTCTACTCACTGTGAGGAGAATAAAAGCCTCCTCTGTCCTCTTTGGACGGGTTGCCAGCACTCATAGGATGGTTTATCTGGAAGCAGCATTTCATATTCTTCCATGCTGCAACAGACACCATAGACAGAGATGCAAGTATCTTCACTGCTGAAGGAGAACTGAAGCTTAGAAAATGCTCTCTTCCAGACGGAAGATGGAGCTTGGGCGCTGTCCCCACCCCACCATCCTTGACCTCTCAAGAAGTCTTTGATCTCCAAGTTTTCTTTCACAGAAACAGGCAGAAGGGACTTTCGTCCCTCTCTGGCCCAGCACCCCAACAGCTTGGATCAGGTCATCAGCACCTTCTCCAGCCCTGGCTGAACTGTCTCCCAGGATGGAGATCCCACACCTCACTGGGGTCACTGGCCCCTGTTGAACTATTTGGTCACCCTCTCAGGTCCTTGCTGAGCAATCACCTGGAGCTACGCTGAACCCTTTATCAAACAAACATTAGAAAAGCAGGCAGGGAGGGGACTGAGCCCATGGCCTGTCCTCTGGGCCCTGCTCACCTGTGGCTCTCTCTGGACAAGCTGGTTCTCCACGAAAGGTAGTGCTTGAGGTTGCCCACAGTGAATGCACAGAGACAGGCACTTAGAAATAAAATTTGCACTAGTAATGACTTTTTTGAGGTTCTTGCTCCTCCGTCTTGGTCTTTTCCATCTCCCACATATAGGAAATTTTGCATTTGAGAGGAACTGAGGACTGCACAGGATTTAACACACTTTAATGCCCCTGCGTACCATTCTACAAGGGGCATGTGGAAGTGTACCTGCCCAGTGGCTACTACTGATGGGAAACCAGCCTTCATTGTAAACACACACTTGATGGAACATCTGACCTTCCTTTTCCTGGCAAGCAACTGTCTTGCCCCAAGTATAAATACATTCTTTAGAAATACATAAATGCATAACTTAAAACCTGCTTTGACACAGGCAGGACTCACAAGGAAAGAAAACCACATTGTTAACCCAGGGGAGAGCTTATACATTCACACGGTTTTATCTGGGTCCCTTGTTCGAGCCTTGCGTCCCTTGCACAAATGCGACAAGAGTCAGCAGTTGTAGTTGGGTTTTGAGGCCATGCCGCTGCTGTAGCACGGGTCTGTAGTGTTTATGGGTTCCATAACACCTTTAATGCTGTAACATTTGGTTTCAGGCAAAGCCTAATTCACAGAAAACATCGGCCAGTGCCCTTGACTTTAAACGATGTTGGGTTTTGGCTGGAGATGTTATGACTTGTCGAGTGGCCCTGTCCTCCACCAGACACGACGACAACTCCTTGCTGATCCCTACTGCTCCCGTGGGACGGGTTATTTCCAGTGAGCTTCATGCCCCACACATCACAGGGTGCAGATGGGAAAAGCCTTTCTGAAAAAGCAGCCTTGGTCTCATTTGGACAGGGCGATTGCTGAGGCTGGAAAGCAGCTAACAGATTCTGATGTATTTAGCACTCAAATAACTGTTGCCTCTATTAAAAATAGCAGCTCCCAAGGCTGGGCAGGCCACCTGGCAGGGTCAGGGGCAGTCCTGCCCTGGACCAGCCCGGAGCAGTGCCGAGCAGAGCTCGCTCAGGTCGCTCTCATCGTTCTCCTCCGGAGTGCTGCTGGAGTCAGAGGGGTTGCTGCTGGGCAAGCTGTGGCCAGAGCCTGTCCTCAGAGATGCTTGCCCCTTCAGGTCTGTGCTCAGTGCCGACGCATCCCAGAGGCACACGCTGCCTGCACAGGCAGGAGTTCTCTGGTAGTTTGGCTGGGAGTAATTCCTCTGGCTGAAAAACTGCCCAAGCAGAGATTTTTGGAGGGTTGTCCGCAGGCTTTCACAAGTCCTCTGCTTTGTGCTCCGCTGGGTGTAATGCAAATCCAACTGCAAGACCACGTCTGTCTGGAAGGGAAGAGCAAAAGACGCAAAGTGAATCAGAGACTAAGACTTGAAGCAGAGGTTTTAATGGTTGCCACTGTCAACAAAACTGCCAGACTTGGCTGGCTGTTGTGCAGGCTCACAGCCCCATGCTGTGGCGTGATGGAGCAATGCCACTGCCAGAGGAAATGAGCTGTTAGATACACTCACGACGTTTGTGGGCCTGAGCCATAGTTTCTGAGTTTCAGGACTTCTGAAATCAGGCCACCCCACTTGAGACCTCATCAGCCCAGACAGGGCACTGTCACCGAGAGCATCACCCCCAGGATGGCAGCACAGGGGAGCAGGAAGAGAGAGGGACAGCACTCATGCAAGGAATGGCACGATATCCATCCTGGCCATGGTATGGGACTGCTGCACACGCCAGAGGAAAGCATGCAAGGGGAGGGATATGAACCACTTAAATAAAACGCACATTGCACCGTAAAAGCCAAGAGTTTTAAACAGCAGTGCTCCACAGGGATCCATTCACAGTCTAGCACTATTTTAGGTATTTATAAAAGATGGTGAAAAAAATCAGAAAATAACCATATCCATGGCAGCTAAATCCTGGAACACGAACTCTCAGCATGGCTGTGCCCGAGATGCCTGGCTGTACAAAGTAGGGAGATATATAATGGAGCAAGAAGATGATTTTGGCAGGCAATGCAGGGTCCAGGACTCGCATCTGAACTTAAAAGCAATGCTGAACGCTTGGGAAGGGCTCAGAAAAGAACTCCAGGAACAATCAAGGACTGAAAGAGCTGCCATATGCTGAGGCACATCATGCACTCAGCAAACAGAGCTCATTGTATGCAGACCCAGGCAGCACCTCGAGAGCAATGTTCAGTGTGAGCCTGCGTGGAGCAAAGCAGATAAGCAGCTGGCAAGATCCACTGGCTGGGTGCTAGAGGGAAAAAAAAAAAAATCAAATGAGAAACAAGGTGTACACTGCTACTTGGGGACAGATCATCTGCTAGAAGAGACAAGCCAGGGGACTAGTGATTCTGCCTCTCTCATGGTCTTTAAATAGTTTGAGAGTCTTCTGAAGTGTGCCAAAGAGGCATAGCTTGGATCAGGATTAGTGGTGTTATCCTGATGACAGGGAATAAACCCTCCTGCTGCTGGAGATTCTGGGCAGCCTATCAGCCCATGGCTCAGGCAAGCACACAGCCTAGTGAGACATCCTTCATCTGAAATATTTGGGCTAGTCTGATCTCCCCTAGGCTGATCCAGGCAAAGAACAGCCTCCCTGGCCCGGCAGCACGGAAGTACAGAGCAAGCCAAGAGAAGGAGGATTGCTTTTGTGCCTTGAAGATCAACAAGCTCCTCTAACATCGATCTGGATGTTACATTGACACAGGTGTCCCAGGCATCATCAGCAGGGAGTCCCAAGAGACATGGTCAGAGGGGCACACCCAGCTCAAGCGAGCAGGAATAGGGAGTACCAGTTACACGAGGCTGACAGAGAACCGCGAAGATTTGCGCCTGGCAACTCCACCTGAATTTTCTGTAGTCCACAGAGCTGGAAGGCACAGTCCAGCTCCTCCCGCTTGCACACAGAGGTGAGCAGAGACTCCACTTGGTCCAGGTGGCTCTCTTTCAGGATGGTCGTACTGTCCATCTCCTGAGTCAGGAAAACAAGAGGAAACACAAGGAAATGTCAGCATCAGCCTGGGCGTGGAGGCACAACTGCCTGTCAAACATGCTGCTTCTCTGCACGCAGCAATGCCAGGGCCTGGCCTGTGCCCTTGACACTTTGGCTGGTGAAAATGCCGCATACCCTCATGGAAGCACTACAGAGTGCAAGCAGCAGAAATCCAGAGATTTCCCACCTTGTGCATACCAATGGGAAGACCTAGCTAAAGCTAAACATCCCCTGAAGGCATCTACTGGGAAAACCACGGTATAACGGCATTTCCAGCAGTGTAGATAGCAGCAACAGCTGGTATTACAACCACCTGCAGCATAAGTGGTGTGTCGAGGAGGGAGCAAGTTTTCCAAGGGCATAGCTGGAGGAAGCTCCGAGTTGTGCCCCTCACCATCTACAAAACTGTCAATTCTCGCTCAATTACTCAAACTTATCCAAAACCAGTCCGTCTCTATGAGATCCTCTTCAGTAACAGTCTTCTCTTGGAGCTGCGAATAGCACAAGAACAGACAAGGGAATAGGTGCCTTATAACGCATCATCTTGCTTTGGATTTGAGCCACCTGAATGGGTGACAGCCCACAGCCCACCAGTCCCTTCCATGCAAAGACACTTCTCTCTGCCAGGTGGCACCAGCAGCTACCACGGTCCGATCCTGCCAGCCTGTCTTGGCCAATGCTAGAATGTGCCAGCCTGGCTTTGGCCACGGGAGTTGAGCAGCCCGGATGGGCTCCCTGCAGCCACACATAAAGCTGGTGGCAGGTAAGGAGGGTCTGACCCTTGCAAAACTTTCTTCTTGGTGGCAGGAGAAGTTGCACTGGGTGATGAAAGAGGCTGTTAGGACATTGCAGGGAGGCAGAGGTTAGAGAAGCCCTGGGAGCTCTTGCTAGCCTTTACAGACGTTCCCTGAACTGCCACCTACAAGCAGCCAAAGCAATTTGTTTCTGGCCAGGAGAATATTGGGGGTAGAAGCCGAAATGTTGGATCCCACATGCTGGCTGGGATCTGCAGGCATCAGGGTCACCCCTGCTTGCAAAGCTGGCAGAACAGGAGTAAACAGCATTGCTGATACAGTAGGTCCACTGGAGGCAGGCTGAAGCAATACCATTTATCCCTGTACAAAGCAAAGCCAAATCCCATCTCCGCGCCTGGCAAATCATTACTGGAAAGATAAACTGGAGGGAGCTTAGGGAAGATCAGGGCAGTTGTCCCGTGTTCAGCTGGGATAGGGTTAATTTTCACAGAAGCTGGGAGGTGGCCATAGCCAGAGGGATATTCCATACCATGCTGGTGTCATGCCCGGGATATAAGGGGAAGCTAGCCGGGAGAGGGGTGGGGATTTTCGTGCGGCATTTTTGCGGTGAGATCTTTCCATTGTGTGTTCATTATATAATCCTGGTTTGTTACAATCTTCTCTTTTTCTCGTGTTGTATTATTAAAATCTGTCGTTACCTCAACTCACGAGGTTCCACCTGGTTGGTTTTTTTTTAATTCTTTCCCCCATCTTACCAGGAGGGGGAAAGGCAGGGAAAGGGAGCAACCACGCTGCTCAGTCCTTACCCACGACAGCAGTGCATGGAGGTGTCAGAAAGGGAGATGGGTGTGTCAACAAGGGGAGGACACAGCTCACATGGGGATGGAGCAGCTCTCCTGCTCAGGAAGCCTCGTCCTGGTTCCTTCCACCAGCCTGAACAGTGCCTGAAACAGGAGACAGGCTGCAATGCAGTGCACCTTCTGCAAATGAACACTGCCCTCTCCTGCTCTGCCCTTCCCTCGCTCCTGCTCCCAGCTACCCTGATGCTGTCACTGCTATGCTGAGCCCAGATTCAACTAAACCTGGAGACCAGAGAGACACAAAGCAGATCAGCCGGGATGCCACAAACACGGGGCTTCAGCACGAGGACTGAAAAAAGGAGCAGAGTGGCCCTACTGCACCCAGCCAGCTCCATCCTCAAGCACATGCTGAAGGAAGGACAAGACATGCGTGCTGCCAGCCCTGCCCAGGGTGAGCCTACCCTGCCAGCCTCCTGCCACAGGACAATCAGCGACTTTCCAAGTCAAAGGTGGTATCTGTGCTGTCAATAGTCTTTACAGACTCTTATGAAGGTGTTATTTTTGAACCCTGCTAGATTTGTAATACCCGTGACACTGGGGTATTACATCCCTAGGAGGAGAACAATCCACGGCCAGAAGTCTTCCTCATAGTCATAGAATCATAGATTAGAATCATCAAGGTTGGAAAAGACCTCAAGGATCATCAAGTCCAACCATCAACCCAACACCACCTCACCCACTTGAACCATGTCCTGAAGCACCACATCGACACGTTTCTTGACCCCCTCCAGGGCTGGTGACTCCACCACTTCCCTGGGCAGCCTGTTCCAATGCCTCACCACTCTTTCTGTGAAGAGATTTTTTTAGTCACCCCACCACCAGTCCCCTTTCTTCCCCATATGTGATAATGTCATAGCGCTCTCCTCCAGCCTTCTCCATAGCCACTTCATTGCTGTTTCTGCACACGTCTTTGGTCCTCTGCGGTCCTGCCTTCCCCTAGTGTGTCCCCACACCTGCGACCTCTCCTGGAGTGGCTCCTCTGGAGATTCATCAGCCTGTCAGAGCTGGCTTTGGGCCACATTCCCTTCTGTCTCCTTGCAGGCATGGATGCGCTCTGGATCAGATGACTTCTAAGTGCCCAGAATCTTCAGCAATTAACATTGCAACTGGGTTTACGCTAGCAGGGCGGGGATGCTCAGCTCTGTGCTAATGCACTGGACTCTTATCCCAAATGCCTACTCTGCACCTTTGAGGCCCTGGAGGTTGGGCTGCCCTTTTGTTCAGCCTAAGAAATAGCCGGTGCACTACAGACATGACTAGCACAAATATAACAACCTCCCATCCCAAGTTAAACCACAGCTCATGACAAGTCAAGCAGCATCAGGAAGTTTGGACAGGGTGAACCACACAGCCTCCCTGAGTGGGATGAAGCCAGTTCCAAGCATTGAACATCCAAAATAGAGGTGCTGTTTCTCTCTGGCACAGACCTGGGACCATCCCGAAGCAAAGGAGCAAATGCTCAGCGCTTCAGAGAAATGCCCAAAGTCCCTTCAGCATCCATGCAGGGAGGCTCTCCCAGCAGCCTGAGAGATTAGCTGATTAAATGACTTCATCATTAAATCATTTTGGATTTGAGAGCCAGCTATGTGCTGCTGAGCTGCTTCTGCACGCGAGGTTGAGCCTGCATCCTGCTCCTGAGGCTACGACCCTCACAACCTCTCCCTGAAGGAGAAGGGACCAAAGGCATCATGTGGCCCAAACAACACAGACCTGGTGACATGCATCATGCCTGACAGATGCATGTCCACGTTCTCTAAGGGATCCACATGAGTGGTGATTCTGCAACTCCTTTGGGCAAAACTCGTCCCAGACATTCACTCTTTTTACCATGAAATGTCATGTCCACTCTGGAGCTTCCTTACTGCAATTCAAACCATGACTTCCTTCCATGTTGGAATCAGCTTTTTATATCTTTGAAGGCCCCCTATCCACCGATTTTTGCTTTTCCTGCCTAAACCACAATTCTCTTGCTCCTTCCTTTTATTACTTTGGATGCATTTCAACTGGCACGCTTTTTTCCATGGACCCAAAACTGGACTCAGTGCTCCAACCTCAGCAACAGCCAGGAGAGCCAGAGAGGATCTCACCCAAATCTCAGAGCTCTTGTTTACAACCCTGGCACAGTTTTCTCCCCTGCTTTTGTTGCACCAGATGTTGTGGACTCTGACCAGAACTGGCACCCCAGTTATTTCCCATCCTGTGCTTATGCTACAGCTTATTGAACTTGCATCTGCTGAACAACAGCCTTGGCCTCAGATTGCATTCCCAGTTTATCCGAATCTTCCTAAAATCCATCCCTGCCTTTTGGCACCTTGCAGAGATGCCCAGCGTTACGGCGCCTGTGTATTTAATAAGCTCATGCTATGGTGCATCACTGAGGTCATTAGTGAAAACAGAAAACAATCCCACAGCTCTGGTATTCCAAAAGAAACAGCATATTCAATCGTCCTCAGAGTAGGAAAGTTTTCTCTTAGTTTTAAATGGAATTTCCTGTGTTTCAGTTTGTGCCTATTGCCTCTGGTCCTGGCACTGGGCACCACTGAGAAGAGCCTGGCTCTGTCCTTTTGCACCCTCCCTGCAGGTATTTACATACATTGATGAGACCCCGCTGAGCCTTCTCTTCTCCAGGATGAACAGTCCCAGTTCTCCCAGCCTTTCCTCACAGGAGAGATGCTTCAGTCCCTTTGTCATCTTTGCTGGACTCTCTCCAATATGTCCATGTCTGTCTTGGACCAAGGAGCCCAGCACTGGACACAGCTCTCCAGATGTGGTCTCTCCAGTGCCGAGTAGTGGGGATGGATCACCTCTCTCAACTTGCTGGCAACACTCCTTCCAGCGCAGCCCAGCAATCCATCTGCCCTCTTTACTGTGCAGGCACGTTGCTGGCTCATGGTCAGCCTGGTGTCTACCAGGACCCCCAGGGCCTTTTCTGCCAAGTTATTTCCCGTCTGTTGACCCCCAGCTATGCCTGTCCACAGGGTTATTCCTTCTCAGATGCAGGATTTTGCACTTCCCCTTGTTGAACCTCACAATATTCTTGTTGGCCCATTTCTCCAGCCTGTCTGTGTCCCTCTGAATGTCTGCACAACCCTCTGGTGCATCAGACGCTCCTCCCAGTTTCGTGTGAGCAGCAAACTTGCTCTGCGCCATCATCCAGATCATCAATGAATATGTAAACCAGTATTTGCTCCAGCAATGAGCACTGGGGCTTCCCATTAGTGGCCTCTAGCTAGACTTCATGCCATTGATCACAATCTTTTGAGCCTGGCAGTTGAGACAGTTTTCAATCCACTTCATCACCTACTTATCTGGTCTCCTATCTCCTCAATTTGTCCATGAGGATGTTACAGAAAAGAGTGTTGAAAGCCCTGCTAAATCAAGATAAACTCCTTTGCTCTCCCCTCATCCACCAAGCGAGCCATTTTGACACAGAAGGCTATCAGGTTGTCAGGCATGGCCTCCCCTTTGTAGTCTATGCTGACTGCTCCCAGTCATCTTCTTGTCCTTGCTGTGTTTGGAAATGGCTTCAGGTATTATTGCCTCCATCACCTTCCCAGGGATCAAGGTGAGACTGACCAGCCTGTAGCTCCCCAGATCTTCACTCATGCCCTTCTGGGAGGCAGGAGTGGCACTGGCTTTCGTACAGGCCTCAGGAAGACTACCTTGAGCTGATGGAGAGTGGCCTCACAGTCTTACTGCCAGCTCTCGTGGGTGCATCCCATCAGGTCACATGGACTTGCATACGTCCAGTTTAAGTGCTCCTTGACCTTGCCCTCCTCCACCAGGTGTAAGACTTCCTTGCTGCAGTCCTCCTCCACCAGGTGTAAGGCTTCTTTGCTGCAGACCTTCTCCCTGGTCTCAGGGGCCTGGCAGTCCTGAAGGCTGGCCCGACCACTAAACACTGAGGTGAAGAAGGCATCAAGTACCCTGGCGTTTTCCATGCCCTGTGTCAGCAGGGACCCTGCCCCATTTAGGAGAGGGCCCATATTTTCTCTTGCCTTCCCTGTGCTGCTGATGTACTTGTAGAAGCCCTTCTTGTTTCCACCAGACTCAGTTCCAGACAGGCTTTGACTTTCCTAACCCCATGCCTGCTTGCTTGAACCACAAGCAACCTCTACAGTCCTGCTACATCACCCGCCCCTGCTTCCACCTCTTGCACACCTCCTTTTCATGTGTGAGCTCAGTTAGGAGCCCCCAGCATGCCCATGCAGGCCGCCTGCCAGCTTTGCTTGGCCCCCTGCTCATCAGGATCCTTGAAAATCCACCAGCTCTCCTGGGCCTCTCGTATCTCCAGGGATGTGTCCACAGGAACACAGCTCCCCAGCCTGATGACCTTCAAGACATTCACCTGGGCAAGGAGCGACCTAATCTTGAGGGATCAATTAAAGCCCTGACATGTGAGATTCAAAGCTCCTCAGCTGACAGCAACTTGTTATCCACAAGTATCTGTACTCTGCTAAATTCCCAGCCTCAATAGGCTCCCGTGCTAATGACTTCCACAACCTAATTACAGCGCATGCAGGCAAGTATTTCCTTCCATTAGTCCCCTTTATCATTTCTGACTGTGTAGGAGTCAGGAAATAGAGAAAGGGATTTTCTAAATTAATTTTTTAGCCTGTTCATAATTATTTATGAACATTTCCCCACCGTGGAATGCATTTTTAAATTAAGATGATGCCCAGGAATTGGCAAGCCCAGAGTTTTGGCCGGCCCGGAGTTTCAGGTATTCTAAATAAATTGGGGAAAGGGTGACTGGAGAGGCCATTAGGTCATACAGCTCCAGATCAAGTGCCTTGAAAACAAAGAGATCCAGCATAAAAGTTTTTTAAAAGTAGGCATTTAAACAGTACAGAGCAAAAAATGGGAATGTCTTAGCTCTCAGCATCATTCCTTTCTACATATACCCTCTCTCTCTGAAGACGGTGCTTGTCAAGTAAAAATGCAAGCCAGGCAAGACACAGGATGGGAGAGACCACTGCCACTGGACAACTAAAGAAAATGCATCAATGCTAGAAAATCCTATCATAAGTACCTCTGGCAAGCCCTACAGCAAGCCCAGGCTCTCTGCTTAAGTCACTTTTGGAGGCAGAATATAGCAAATGATGGGAGAACTACCACTTCCTCAACAAAACGGCTCCATGGGTTCATTCCCCGGGGCTTACAACATGCACCTAACATTGAGCCTGTTTTTGTTGGGCTTCAGCCTCCAGCTCCTGCATCTCAGCAATGTAAGCATGGCTCGGATGGTCCCCCAGCTCCCCTCAGCATCCCCAAGGAGTGCTGGCAAGGTGAGGATGCAGCCAGCTCACCCAGCTCCTGAAAGAAGCCAGGCGCCATCGTATGGATACCTGCGCATCTCTCTGTGGTCCCACAGGTGAGCGTGGGTGGCCTCGCTGTGCATGTCCAAAGCAGGGCAGGTGAACTTCAGTCCGGCTGGAGGACGTGCTGCCACATCAGCAGACACCACTGGAGGTCAGTGTGAGCTAGCAGTGCTGTGGAGTAGGGTAGGGACAGGGATCCTACTGCCCTGGCTATCCTGGGGGTCCCCTTGTGGTCTCCTCAATCCCTCTTGAACCAGCTCCGGACGCAGGAGCAAGCAGCTGGGGTCCCCCTTTCCCACAGTTGCTGATATGAGGTGGATTCACACAAACACATGCAGACACACACACACAATTTTCATGCATGGTTAGGGAGCTCACGAGGGCAAACGATGCTCCGGCTTGGTAACGGGCAGGATCAGGCTCCAAACCTCCCACTGGACACACCGCGCTGCATCAGTGACCACAACGTACTTAGGGGCAACATCCCTCCATGAGCAACAAGGGCTGAAAAATCCACCACAGTCACGCTATGCTTCAGCAAAGGGACTATAGAAAATGAGGAAGATGGTTAGCAAAAAAGAGCAGCAAATTAAATCCTTAGAGATGGCATGGAAACCACCAGAAAAGACCATGCTAGGCATGGGGTCTGTTAGAAAAGATGTGAGAAACGGTGCAAGGAAGCTGGTATGGCTTAACCGGGAACAAGTACAGGAGGATATACTGTTGCATTAAGATATATTAGTACAGTGGGCTAAGAAGGCGTGATTCAAAAAGCTAAATCTGCTTCCAAACACAGAAAACAGAAAGGCTCTTCATCTCATTCAGATTAAATCCAATAATTTAATCAGGCAGACCAGAAATAGGTCAGCAGGCTATCTGGTTAAAGGGATCAAAACTGGCACTAAATCCTTTTTGCCATGCATTAGGAGCAAGGCAGGCAGTCTGTGGGGCACTGATGTGTGGAAGGATCACTCAAAGAGGTGTTTGCAGAGAGGGTTATTTGCATCACCAGAAGGGATCCTTTTCCACGTGGGTTCAGCCTCTCCCAGCCCTCAGGACTCACTGGGCTCACCCTAACCACCCTCCCAACGCTGCCCCGGGGAAAGGACCCTGGTGGGAATTCAGGGGAAGGGGACCAGCTGGAGCACTCACGGTGGGCTGGCAGAGCAGGAGGCAGGCGTCAGTGACGTGAGCTGGGGGTGGCTGTAGCTTGGCACACACATACATCACGTTGGAGAAGAGCCGGTGGAAGTGGAGCTCCACCCGTGCCCCGCAGGGGAAGGTCACCATTTTGCTCAGGGGCTCTGGAAGGGAAAACTGAGAGGGGTCAGCTCCTCTGAGGGTCCTGCCAACACCTCCCTGCACACTGGTGTCCCTGGGGGGCACGGAGACCCCTGGCCACCCTCTCCCCCACACCTGGTAGCCATCCCCGTGCCCTGCATGGCTCACCGTGGCCGTGTCCCCAGGTCTCGGCAGCTGCTCCCAAAGGGCAGATGGGGTCTGTCAGGGACCGGGATTCCTTCAGAGTGTGTTTGATCTCCATCACCTGCTTCCCCGTGACTAAGGGATCCCGGCCGATGTCTGGGAAAGAGATTTGAGAGGAGCAAGGATCCTTATTTATCGACCTGCCTTTCAGACCCTACATGAACATCTCAGCACTGCTGCCAGGTTACTAAAAGCTTGCGTAGGGCACGGCCTGCAATTTGGTTTTTAGGATGGATGGTTGGATGGTTGGGATGGGGTGGTGTGGAGCCACTCGCTTGCTGCTGCCTTCTCTTCTCACTAATGCTACTGAGCTGATTTTTAACAGCTCCAGGCAGCAGCACAGTGCAGAGCACGTAGGGGTTCACTAGCTGATCCCTTACCTTCTAACACATCCTCCAGCATGTGTGTAACCTTCTTCTCCTGCAGAATATGTTTCTTTAGGTATTTCATGAAGATCCCAGAGCTGAACTCCCCGTCCTGCAACTCATAGGCTTCTGCATCTTCACTCCTGCAAGAGGAACGACTTGCCCTCACCCTCCTGCAACCGGCACAAAGCCCTGGGTGTGAGTCAGGCCCTGCCAACTCCATCCAGATTCTTTTGGCTGAGTCTGAGTTAGCTCCTAATGCAATGGCGCAGTGCTTGGTTTTGGCCCAGGAGAGGGTGGGAAGGGCATAGGATGGGAAAAAGCAGTGGAGGGGGACAGGAGAGGAGAGCACAGCCTCTTCTGCCAGCCTAGGTGGGTGGCAGCCGTTGAAAAGCCAGTGGAACTGGCACTGGAGCAGCAAGCAATGCTTATCCACATCTCAGGAGGCTTTGGGTGACCTGCTCATAGCACATGCACCTTGGCAATCAGGCTGAGGCCTGAAAGGACAGATGACAAGAGGTGACGCCACCTTAATGCATAACCTGTGAACCGATGAACAGGCTCCTACTTGGGATGTCAGGAGGAAGCAAAAAAAGTGTCTGAACAGCAAATGCTAGAGACGGAGGGTGAGAGTCAGAGGAAACACGAGAGAAGCCCTCTCAGGCCTTCAAAGCCACCATGCGTGAAGGGATGCAAGGAGCCATGGCTTTGGCAGCGTTTGGTCCTGCGCGTGGGCACGGCAAAGCGCACTTACGTGGCGTAGCCATACACGGTATTGCCCCAGGGCTGCAGCGGCTGTACCTGGGAGAGGGCACACTGCGGGTTGTACCTGGAAGAGGAGACGAAGGCACAAGTCAGTGCTGAGGACACCCGCCAGCATGTGCCTGGAGGTCACAGAGCCTGTGTGCTCCAGCACGTTCGTCTCCTATGGAAGGCAGTAAGATCAACTCTCACATCAAATATAACCACCCATGTTACTCGGGCAGCAACAGAGGCTAAAGCTAGGAGTCCTAGGAAGAACCTAAAGCACAAGGAAATGAGTAGATAGGGGCCAGCTTTTACCCATCTGCGCTGGTGAGCTTCTCCCTGCCCTGCAAGTGAACCTGGAGCTGTGGGTGCAACTATGCCTCCTCCCTCCTGAGGCTGATTTTTAACAGCTCCAGGCAGCAGCACAGTGCAGAGCATGTAGGGGTTCACCGTGGCTCAAGGGACTGTCCCCAAAGGACTTGGTGGTGTGCACATTGCATGGCTATGGCTCAACCGCCTGTCCCAGGGATCTGGGATACCCCACAGCTCCCTTCCAGTCCATGCACACACCTTCTGCCACCAGAAACCAAAGCACACTATGGCTGATACACCTCCAGATCTCACTGAGAGATGGGATCAGGATGCGCATCCAGGTCTCAAAGCCCCAAATGAGCACAGACCCTGTTATTGCCAAGATCAGGTCGATCCAGGGTGACAGTCCTGGTTTCCACTGAGAAAGATATCGTGCTTGCACTTAATGGCCACGTCTTGCCCATCTGACTGCAGTCAGACTGAAAAGCACGGGCACTGGCTGCCTCCAGTTTACACCAGTGACTTGGATGTTCCCAGTCACGCAGGGATAAGAAGCAGGCACAGAGGCGGCGTTATTTGGTGTTATTCAATTCCAGCACAGTTTTCTGGGGCTGAAACTGGCACGCTAGGGAGAGCAGAAAGGATGGTTGTATTGCCAGCAGCCAGCACGTTATCTACTGCTGGTTTGGAGATGTTTAATGGCAGTATTCATTCGGCCTGTGTAAGTTTTCTAAAGATGATCAGAAGAGAAAATGTGGAAAAGGAGACATGCTTCAAAATACGAACACTGCACAGAGAGATTTATCTGCCCCTCCTCAACTCCTAAATGAATGCAGAAACCTGGGATTCCAGGGCCAAGGAAAAACGAGACCTGGGATCCCAAAATAAACTGAAGTCCTGTCGTCCCCCCACTGGGGACATCCACCCCAGAAGCTGCGCAAACATGAGTTGATGCAAACCTTTTGTGATGGCACCAGCAGGCATCCACAGCTCCAGCAAGACTGGAGCTGCAGGCAGTGGAAATGCTGGCTGTGGTCCCCTGCCCCAGGAGAAGACAAGCTTCAGCAGGGGCATTTCAGGAGAGACCTGACAGCAGAGGAGGTGGCAGCACTCCCTCCTGCTTCAGGCCCCAATAAAGTCTAATTTATACAGTACATGTCATGCAACCCGCTTCTGATCTGCATCCCAGATAGGAGATGGCGTCCTTCTGTCCTAAGCTGCACGTGCCAGAAACCCTCATGAATCAGGGAATTCCTGGAAGAGGCAATCGCGTTCACCCAAAATCTGCACATAAATGCACGAGGCTGCACACAGGCTCCGCATTCCTGGTTCCTCCTCTGCTGAAGCTGAACATCTGCTATCACTTGGCAAAGGAGGATGTGTTTCTCATCGCCTTGGCATTTCTGATGCTGACATAGAGGGTGAAGAGATACTCTGGGTGAGATCCCTCTTAGCACACATGCACCTCCTCCTGGTTCATGCACGGCTGAGTGAACCGTCAACAGGCTCGTCGTGTCAGCCTGGCCAAAAGGGCACTGGGAAAGGAGGCCCCAAGAGCCCTGCTTGAAGGAGCTGTGTAAACCCACGCAACTATGAAATCCAAACTCCTTGCTGAGCTGAAATGGTGACTTCTCAATAAAAATGAGCTCAGGAGAGAGCTTTTACAGCGATCCCCAGTGATAACACCCACTGCACTAACTGCTGTGCTTGCCGTGGGAAAGAGGAGGAAAGAAGAGTGAGATCTTGGGGCGGGAGAGAGAAAAACAGCCACAGAACCGTGCCTAAATGTCACAGCTGATCTCACATCACATCCTTTTCCCAAAGCACTGTTAAGATACCACTGAGCGCAGAAACCGCTGGCGACACCAAGAAGGAAGGCATCAGCTCAAAAGCTATTTTATAGATTGTTGCTGTCCGTGTTAGCAATCCACATGCAGCCTCCATGTCGCCATGCTGCCTTCCTCATTGCACACTGTCCTCGGATGGGCTACCAGCAGCCCACAGGCATGCCAGCCCACCTCCACCGGTGCATCCACGAGACCCACATGCTCCTGCTCAGCTGCAAACCATCCCCTACCTGGTATCGTGCTGGGGAGAGCGGCAAGGTGCTGCCATGAGTGCTGGGGTTTACTCAGCAGCGCAGGGAAGCAATTCGCTCTGCTCTCGGTGGCAGCGATGGGTGAGAGGAAGGAAGGGGATGCTTCGCTACGGGACATTAAGTATCAAGGGACAGTAACGTTGGCAACTCAGAGCTGTGGCAGCAGGGTAAGTCCCACCACAGCCAGCTCGTAAGTTATTCAAAGTGAGCGTTTCCACCTCTGCAGCAAAAAAGCATCAAAGATTTAACATCCTCCTAGGAGCTGGCAGCTCTTTCAGCGCAGTGGTATCAAAATCCCTGTCGTCTTTCTGGTTCTTAGTGCAGGAACCGCAGAAGGAAAGAGACTTTTTTGTTTTTGCCCTCCAGGTCTTTTCTGACCTGTAGATCTGCTTGGGAAATCTAAATAAATGAACTAATGACAGCTTCTACTGGACTAGAATACCTACCTCTGCTGAAAATGGACAAGTAGTAATTTTCTGCAGCCCACAAACTGTAGGATGGGGATCTGCAGGCCAAGGGAACATGATGGGCTTTTCACAGACAGAGGAAAAACACTGATGCCTGACCTCAGCAGCAGCCTGCACAACATGACTACTTCAGAAGCATTTAAGGCCAGTAAAAACCAAGTAGCATAGCTTAAAATACTTCCCCCATCATGTTTCACTCTTCTTACTGAGACATTAACAAAAAATGCAGCCAGGAGAAGAGAGGTGAGCTAAACAGTCCCAGCATGAGCATGTGGGTAACATGTACCATGAAAGCATGAGGTCAGCGAGCTGCTGCTACAGCCAGCCAGGTCGGGTGGTTCGGTGCAGGGGGTTGAAACACAGGAAGACAAACCCTATGCTGAGTGTCAGCCAACAATTTATGCCAGGGCAGAGCCAGCCCTCTGCAGGCTTTAGATGACTCACTCTAATAGCCTGCATTTGCCAGGCTTCTTCACCCCAAAAAATCATAGAATCATAGGATGGTTTGGGTTGGAAGGGACCTTAAAGATCATTGAGTTCCAACCCCCCTGCCATGGGCAGGGACACCTCCCACTAGCCCAGGTTGCTCAAAGCCTCATCCAGCCTGGCCTTGAACCCCTCCAGGGATCGGCATCCACAGCTTCTCTGGGCAACCTGGGCCACTGCCTCACCACCCGCACAGTGAAAAATTTCTTCCGAATATCTAATCTAAATCTCCCCTCTTTTAACTTGAAACTGATACTCCTTGTCCTGTCACTACAATCAAGGGAAGGCCTCCAGCCCCTTCTCTCCGTCAGATCTCAGGCAAGACCTGCAGCTCTCTGCAGCTAACACATGGCTGACCAGGCTTCCCAGGAGATCCTGCAAGACCTGGCAGTCTTGCTGATTTTATGACACACCCTGATGACCTTTGACAGAGCTCAGCAGCACAGCGGGGGACACGAACCCTGCAATCTGTGGGAACACCCCCCGTGGCTGTGCAGAAGCCCACCACTGAAGCAGGGGCTGAAGCCAGCAGCCATTTCCCCCGACCCCTCGAAATGCCATGCTCTGCCCATCCCGGGAGAGGAAGGGGGAAGAGAACCCTACCATTTCCTACAGGTGTCCAGCAGGATGAGGTTCAGGGCCGTCTGCTGCTGCTGCATCTTCTGGAGGATCCTCTGCACACTGATGCAGTTCTCAGGGGCATAGGGTTGTGGAGCGTCAACGGGGACCATGTAGTTCCTCCCTGAATGTTCGTACCCATGACCAGCGTAGTAGAATACGGCTGGGAAGAGGGAGAGGAGAGGATGAGTCGCTATGCGAACCTGCAGGTCTGTAACTGGTTCCCCACAGCAACGTCCCACCTCCTGTCCTGAAGGGATACCGGTGCAGGGCAGACCTAGACCAGTAGCAACTATGAAACTGGAGCAACATTGACCTCATAATTTTGACTTTTTTCCACTCCATTCCCTTCAGCAGAGCTGGAAGCAGCCCTGGGAGGCTCTCCTGTACTTGTGGTTTCCAGCACTGTTCATCAGGACACCCCAAAGTCACTGGTTTTACACGTTTCCATAACCATCTCTGCTACAACACCCAAGCTCTGCATCTGCCAGGCTGAATACCACCTTTGTACAAAGTTTCAGTTAATCATCAGATCTTTGCAAGAATGTGACAACAGACTAAGGATTTCACCATGAGGAAAAATACATTAACAGCCTTTTCAATGAGAAGCTCCTCAGTTTCCTAATGTTGGAGGAGAGACTAGTAATGGATCAGGGGATGGGAAACTCTCTCCATTTTTCAAAGGTCTGTCTATAAGCTGGTGAAAAATGAGCTAGAGACAGGGAGATGAGTTCTCCAGATGTCCAGAACACATGGACCATGTGCTTCAACAACCTCAGACCAGATACCAGCCCTGTAAGGCGGGAGAGGAGTCAGACTCATCCAGGTGTTGGTGAGAAGTTCAATACCCAACAAGAATTTTTGTTTGAGTTCTACTAGAGAAGTGAAACTTAATAATGGTTTCTGCCTTCACAAGAGAAGGCAATGCAGGGACACCCAGCATGGAAAGCCAGCACTGAGGAGCTCGGCATGGCCCAAGCTGGCGCTTCTCTCCAACCCCTGTGTTCAGCGAAGGGCTTTCCTTCGGCACAGGGATCCCCGCGTGAGCTGCACCTTCCTGGAAGGAAGCTGCCACCCCTTCCCAGCACTGATGCATCTGCTTGGGGGATGCTGGTGAACACCACCTCGAGGAACTGAAATGGGTTAAAAATAGCTCCCCGATGTGACGCAAACTGTTGCACTACCGCAACCGAGGGGCAGTGAAGAATGAGAGGTCGGAAATGGGAACAAGTGGCTAAGAGGCAAAAGCAGGAGAAATTCTTCAGTCAGATTCACTGCCAAAGCCCATGCTTCATTGAGGAACCTCTTCTCTATTTTCCCTCCACCACTCCTGTCACTGTAGTTCGCAGGACACTTGCTTTGATCTCTGATGCTGCAAGGGATGCACTGAATGGGGCAGGAGCTGAAGGACTGAAAGCATGATCTCATCGTATGAAGAATGGAAAGGATGATCTCATAGTAAAAAAGGCCTCAAGTCATCTTTGGTTTCTGTTCTCAGGGGATGATGGAAAGTTACTCAACTGTTTTCACAGATGCCCACAAGGTTTGGGTTCCTCTTCTCATGGACCGCCAGCCAGAGACAGTGGGATCTGATTTGCAGAAGTTTTAAACTTTCATAACTTGCAAATCAAAGCCACAAAAACCTTCCCTAAGACTATAAAATAATATAAAACAGGAAGCCCCTGGGAAAACCATATGCAAGTACTTCAGGTTTGGCCCCTCAAGTCGATGGCTTTTGTCGCTCTGCCTCTCCTGTACATGAAAGGGAGGTGATGACGTCCGTTATCAGGCAGCACCACTGACACACGGGAAAAACAGAAATATTACAGAAAAGCCCACAAAGAATCATTCAGTCATGAAATCTTCTAGCTTTTGATGTCTTGTTGTGCACCCTGAATGCACCATCAAGTGCTCCCTGTTCTCTGTAACCACAAAGGCTCACGTTCAAATCAAAAAAGACATAAGCTGAGCAACTTTGGAGACCTCTCCTGGACTTAACCTCCTGAACAGGAAAGTCAACAATTTGCCTGGAGAAGGAAAGGGTTTTTTTATTCCAACCTAATATTTCAATGCTCTTCTAATATCTTGTGAGTCAAAACTGCTGATCAGAGACAAGCTTCTGAGTACCAAATTAAAAAGGGGAAGCTCCAGTCACTGCTTATAATACAGGAAATGTCAGCATGTGGCTTAATTAAGGCATGACGGTATATTCCTAGTATTTCACTTGCAACTTTCTGATGTCGTTGCATTTTTGACATTTTTTTGACTCAGGACTTTTTAGGATGCTGAAAATAACATCCTGGGGGATTCCTTGTTTGCCTGAGGGCTGCATAATTAGACCACTCAGGGGATGTTTGGGGCCTTCAGAAATCCTCTGCAGCTTTTCTAAGAGGAGATCTGGAGGAAAGGCAGCCAGATGAGCCACCACCTCCAGACAATGAATTAGAGAAGCCTTTGGATCACCTCAAATATGCAGCCACACAATACTCCTGTGCCTGAAAACAAAGCCAGTTTTTGCTCTGGACTTGAGAAATCTCAGAAAATGTTCAATAATTAAGAAGGACAAAGTCCTGCACTGGGGCAGATAAACCCAGGCAGCAATTTGGAGGGGGCAGTGGGGGCTGAGTACTGGTTGAGCAGCAAGCCTGGAGATAAGGGCCTGGGGTCCACGCTGAGGATGAGCCAGCATTGACTGGGGACAGAGCTATGCCAGGAGATGTAGGATTGCCAAGGGAAGCTGTCGCCACTCTCCTTGGCCCTGAGTAGACCCCACTTAGATCCTGTGTCCAGTTTTAGGGACCTGAGAACAAGAGGAAGATGCAGAAGCTGGAAAAAGACCAGCAGAGGCTACCAAGATGTTGGGGCCTAGGGTCCAGGAGGACAGGGGGAAGGAGCTGGGCTGGGCTGGAGACGTGGTAGTGGAGGAAGGGCTAACAACAGCCTACAGTTTCTGGAGGGGCAGTTACAGAGACAACGAAGCCCAACCCTCCTTGTTGGCATGGACCAGACAACACGGGGCAATGGACTCCAACCCATGGAGGGTCACGTTTGACACAAGGAAAGACTTCCTGGGGGAGTGGTGCAGCCTGTGATAGGCAGGTGGATAAGTGGGAGGCTCCATGCCTAGAATTCTTCAAGATGTGATAGAGAGAGACAAAACCAACCCTGACCTTGTGTTGATGACTCCAAAGTCCCTTCCTACCAACCCCTGGAGGACTGTAAATCACAGACATGTAAGGGAGTGACAGCCATCCAGAGAGCCCTGCAATAAGAAAGAGGTCTAGGGAGGTCAGGCACATCTTCTTCAGCTCTTATCAGCATCCTGAAGCAAAATAAAATTCTAGAAGCAACAACAAGCACAGTGCTCAAACACTAACCCACATGGCTATGTCCTCTCCTCTGATCTGGACCAGCAGAAAGATGCATGAATGCTCCAGCATCTCTATCACTGGAGCTAAACCTCAGAAGACAGCCAGCCTTACTTCTCGGGCATGCTGACAGGAGTGTCTGTGTTAGACCAGAGTCTCACTTCAGCCCAGTGACCGTCTTTCACCACTCAGTCCTCTCCTCCCAGCTCCCTGCTTCACTCCATATGTCTATGCAAAGCTCTCCTGACTTCAGCTGTGGTGGCTGCCACACAGGAGATGGCACCTCCAGGTTCGTCAAGCAAGAAAAACCAGGTAGAAGCACTGGGATGCCTCTGTGCAAGTACATGTCCAACACACACACACATGGATGTACAGGATCGGCTACAACAGGTACCCCTGGGTGTCTTTGTACTTTTAAATGGGTTGTTCCTGGAGCTGCTGTCTCACCACTATCTTCCCATGTGTATGAATTACAGGAATCCTAAACCTCTCAGTCAGTTCTAGATGGAAGCTACTGCCTTGAAAAATTGATACATGGGGTTTAGGAGTAGTTGCTAGCTTCTTCTAAATGTGTGTTTTTATTAACAAGACAAATTAATTTCAATGATTTGTACTTCACCTGGTTCTTTTAATTTTAGGTAGGGAAAATAGCTGAAGAAATACTGGAAAATCCATCCCAGCGAGAGGCACCACACTTCAGATGGAGAAACCCCGGGGCAACCAGCAGGCAGACTGACCCATTGCCCCACCATTAAGCCTGGATGCCACCAATTATGGCAAGAGTCCTGAACTCAATCACGCTGCTGGGACCAGCCTGCGCTGGGGTTCACTGCCTCCAAATAATGGTAGAGCACTCAGCTTGGAAAGCTGTAAAGAAAACCACCATTTGGAGCAGGCTATGCCTAGCAAACACATCAAGGTTCAGTAACTCAGCTGTTCATGTTTTCACTGCCAGTGCACAAAATCAATTTTGCCAGGAAGGATCAGTGGCCGTGAATGCAGAAAAGCGCGAGAAGTTTAAATAAGGCACAACAGCGTGAAAAGCTTTGCCATTTCTGAATCTTTTTTGTTGACAATGCTTATGAAAACAAGGGAACCGCCATGGATAAAATGACATTTGGTCATCACGTGCCACAGAGGGAGGGTAGGAATGGCAGTGCTGTGGGAAAAGCATAGCAGCCCCTCAGGGATGACTCTGGCCTGGAAGAGGAGGTAGAGCCTGAATTGCAAGGGGATTTCAGACAGCAACCGCAAAAGGAAGCTGCAAGTGAAGTCATAGGAATATGTTGTCACAAGATGACGTGGTTGGCAAGAGGAGCGACAATCATGTACGGCCCTTGCCTGCCAGCTCAGCCTCCCCGAGTGAGTCAGTGCTTCCCGGAACGAGGTGGCTCTGCAGCATTTCACTTGTGGCCATGTCCCTATCCATTGCACAACCTCCAAACCTCATGCTGAGCGCTGGGCTGGAATTGGCCCATGCTGACTTTCGCTGTCTGAGTGCTCCTGCACACTGAGGTTTGGAAGCAAAAAAAACCATATGCAAGGCGTTTTCAGGCTATCTGTCAGGCTTGGAGAACCTCAGAAACCCCAAAGAAGCTATTTTCACCACCAAATCTCAACACCTGTTTTAAGACCCGTAAGATCTGCTGGTTGGTTTTGTGTTTGAGGAACGAAAAAAAACTGAGGACAGCGTGAGATAAGCTCAAAGCCCAACCTCAAAGCCATCTGCAGCTGGGAATGCTCTTCTGCAAAAGGGCAGTTGGAGGCCCAAATTAGACTATCAGGAAAGAGAAATAAGGAAATTGTGGCCACTGGTAGCAGTCATGGCTCAAAAGGAGCTTCCCTCCTCACAAAGGAGAGTGGTGGGGGCAATCAACAGTCTGTCTCCTCAATTTTATCATCTAAGGCAAAATCAAAACACCTTTTTGCCATCAGAAATGCTGGCTCTCCAAAACGCCAGCACGAGACCATACTGTTGGAGTTGGAGGGGAGCCACGTGATGGAGAAACACCTATTTTGCCAGCCTGTAACCTGGAAAAAACTGAACGGCGTTTATCTAGGAGCTTCTGCCAAGGCCAGAAATGCTTGCCCCTCCCTCCCCAAAAAGAAAGTTCAATTTCTTCTCTTTTAATTCAACAGCTGTTCAGAAAATTGTCAAATCCCTGCTCCTCCCAGGCATCAATCACTGCTAACCCGCACATTGGCTGCTGCCTGCTCAGCACTAGCAGGTACCTGGGCTGTCTTTGCCTTACCGTAGACTCCCTTCCCCAGGAGCTGCAGGAATTGACTGACTGCTGTTGCCATCTCAGCCTTGTTCAGATCCAGAAGGGAGACGACCTGGAAGCCCAGCTGCTTCAGAAGAAGACTCAGCTCAAACACATCTGTGACAGGAGCCATGAGGTTGGGATGATGCTGGTAGCGGTTGTTGCCCACTAAAAGTGCTATCTTGCCTGTAGCTACAAGAAACAACAAGTGACAAACTCAGCAGGAGGAAAGGGCTCACCTCCTCCTGTTGGACTGAGGATATGAGAAATCTCTTCTTACATCTAGGCAGGAAGGATAGAACCTACACTGCTTACAAGCCTGGGGCACCCTCCAGAAAGAGCTTGGCTTTCACTTTGACAAAATAGACAAGCTATCATTTTGAACGAAAGACTTGCAAAGTTTTCACGTGACAACAAAAATCCCAGGAGTGCAGGAGGATCTGCACTACCGAGGTTATTCGGCACCTGCTCTACCGTGACCACAGGTCTTGCCTGCCAGCAGTGCCTGGGAGGGGGATGCGCTGAGCCAGGCTAACAGGTCCTTTCCCCCATGGGGCTGAAGGAGAGAAACCCTGGGCTCCTGCTTTCTTTTTATTCCAACCGTAGAAAATCAGATTTATGGCACTCAGCAGTGGTGGGAGCAAGGAGCTTTGCCCTTCTCGGAGGAGGTGTTTCAAGGAAGAGAAAAGGTCTCATGTGAACACTTCTAAATTCATTTGGCAGGCACAGAGGTCAGGACTGGGTTACTCATTAGGAGTTACTCATTACTTAGTCTGCTTGCTGAGATTGATCAAGGCTTGGTAGGGGATGGGACTCATCCTGTGCCTTGCAGCTCTGATCCCAAAAAGCACAGAGCCCATGACAATGTGGGCATAAAAGGCTTGAGGCAGTCTCTGCAGGAAAAGCACTCCTATGCCCTGTCCTCCCACCCACCCTGGAGCCTGGCTTTTAATTAAGTGAATAATTGCTCAGGAAGAAAAGATGACAGTACTCACCAAAATACTTTTCAGAGTGACATGTACCTGGAAAAGAAAGAGGGAAATTATAAAGCCTGTGCTCAGCACCCAGTGCCCCAGTGCCAGCTCCCATCGCAGGTCTGAAACCTGCTCCAGCATCCCTCAGCAATGCAAAGCTGGACCAAACACCGCGGAGCATCCACACAAGCAACACTCCTTGGGCAAGTTCTTCACAGCCTGTTTGCTAACCTTAAAGACACTGGTTTGGTGATTTTAGGAGGATTTATGAAATTTTGACGGCTTTATGAAATCCTGAGCAGGTGGGAAGCAAAGCTTGGAGAAGGGGCAGGCCAGGGGAAGGAGGGCCAGCATGGAGGAGCTTGTACCCATCAGCAGGTCTGTGCTACCTGTACCAGCCCTGCCTGGGCTGCTGCATTCCCCAAGATGGATTGCCTGCACCCTCACTGCAGTGAAAGCAAAGGAAACACAACAGGATCAAGGTGAACAAAAGCTTCAAAACAGAGAGCTTCTCCCTATGAGCAGTCAGTGCAGAGGAAGCCGCCTGTTTGCTTTTGATTGCGATAATATTTCCAGAGCTTTTCACCACCCTGCTTTGCCTTTCCCCAACTTTTAGCAGTTCCAGTTCAGAAAAGCCACCCCAAATGTGACTCACTTTTGTGAGCTCCACAAGCTCCCCGGCCTGGGTGCTCCCAGCCTCTTAAAAGCCTCATGCCCTAACAGCTCCAGCTTTTCCTATTTACATTTATAAAGAAAAAAAAAAATCCAGCCCAGGAGAAAACCCTAAAACCCTAGAGGCTCCAAAAGAATAAACTAAAGGCATATTTTTAATTGCACAAATATCACGGGACTGAGAGACCTTTAGCACCTGAACCAGAGATGCCTGGAAAGCAAGGAGAGTGCTCTCTGGCTCTACAAGACCAATTTGCACTCTGGAGCAATTTTAAAGCCAGCCTAAAAGGTGAGATGAGAGGTATATGGCATAGAAAAATCTCTAGATGGAGTAAAGAGCCAGCAAAGCTAGCCTGTGCTATTCCTGTCTCACAGGAGGGCAAAGGCAGAGGGCCAAAACGGTGGTCACACCAAAGGTGGAGCATGCCCAAAGCTCTAGGGACCCACCTCCTCCCTGGGATCAGTCCACTCATGCAACATTAGGCCTGGGCTGCCAGCCCAAGAAGCCTGAATCTTCCCGAAATAAACACCATCCTCTCCAGCTCTATGCATCTGAGCACATCACTTCATGTCAGCAAGGCTGTAAATGAGTTTTAGCAGAGAAGCCTGCTGTGATTCGTGATTAAACCAGCACCTTGGCAAGGGAAGAAAACTGCAGCAAGCATCCAAAAGCACCCAACTTGCCCTAAGGTGGCAGGTTTCTGACAGACTGCGGGACTCAGCAGCATCCCACGCCACAGTACAGCAGATCACCGGGTTTTGGGGTTTTTTCTTTTACAGATGGCACTTCCCTCGCTACCTCTGAACCTCGTTATCAAGCAACCCTATTTATGACGGTGTGCTGGACGCCTGCGCCCGCCGCTCGGCAGGGTTTGCGCAGCTCTGCTGAGATCATCGTATCCAGTATATCCAGGGTGTGAAATTGCGCTCTGCAGGCTGTTCCCGTGACAGCTGCCACAGGACTGCCAGGACGCTCCAGCTTCCCTGCAGAGCCCCGTGCTGCTTCTCTACTCTGAAGTGTCTTACCTTTGGCTCCCTGCAGAAGCGGTATTTAAAACCCGTGGCCTTTCTTTTGTTAATAAAAGCTTGCAAGATCCATCCAAGCCAGGGGAAGGTGCAAGTGTTAGAGCCACACATCGCACTTCTCCTAATCCCACGTCCCAGAGCCCAGCTTCCCCTGCACTGGCTGAGCTGCAGGGTAACACACCAGCACTGGGCTCCTTGTTCACCAGCCCAGCGCTTCCAGGCGGAAGCACTAAATTCCTTTCTGCCCTCTAATTATTTTTCATGCTAGAAGGTGATTTGCAGCAAAGCAGACGTGGGTTGGCTCTGCTCACCTATGTGAATATCCACGGCGTTGGTCCAGTGCTCTCCATGGCTATTGGAGGCACAGCAGAGGTACGTGCCAGAGTCACTGACCTTTGCATGGGTGATCTAGACAGATCAAAAGTTAAATCACATTATTTACAGTGAAAGTTTGCAGCCCCCGGCCTGTATCTGCCAAAGGCACCTGTGTTCCTGGAATAAAGTCTTTTTTCTTGCTGTTTGCTGAGACCTCATTCCTTGCCTCACAAAGCTAAGATTTCCCATGATTTTTGTCTTTCTAAGAAGCTCAGTAAGGCCATGTTCTAAGATCTGCTGCTGATCCCAGCTTCTAGAGCACAAGAATATTCTCCCCAAATGCCTTTCCTTCTTTCTCCAGCAGCCCCTACGCCCTGTGTCATAGCCATACTCTGCCCCAGGAGCCACACTGGGAGGATGGTGCGTGGCCAACATCAGAACATTCCCTGGTTTTCCTTTCAGGTGACATTTTCTAGATTTCTGATCATGCCCGTTGCTCTCTTCTGGCAAGTTTTCAATTCTTATCAATCTCTCTTGATGTGGGACAAGAATCAGAGCAGTACTGGCTGGCAAGGACCTCTGTGGTTCTCCAGGCAAGGCTCCTGTTCAGAGAGGAACTAAAGCCACCACTGTGTCAGGTTGGCTGAATATTCTAGTCAAATATTCAAAACCTCCATGGACAGAGATCTCACTGCCTTTCTGGCTCCAGGGCGGAACCACTCACCTCCAAATGAAGAACCTCTTCCTCATCCCCAGCCTGAACTTCCCTATGAAAAGTGCAATCTGAGGCCACTGTCCTCTATAGTATCATCTACCACTACTGAGAAGAGATTGGATCTCGTCTTCATTACCCTTCACGTGATGCCCCAGAAGAAAACCTGCCTTTCTTGCATCAAGAAGACGGCACTGATTCACATTCAGCCAGTGACCCAAAATAAACCCAGACCTTTTGCTGCCTCCCTGACTTTTTTTCTGTCAGGACTAACCACTTTTCCTTCTAGCTCTCTTGCAGGCAGACAGCACTGCCACAGCTCCATCACTCTGCAGTCCCCTGCACAGACATACAATAGCTGTTCTTGCGCCACTGCTGCAAAAAGCCATGAGAGACGTGCTAAGAGCCCTTGATGCATACATGAATCAGTTACTTCTTAGAGAAACATCCACAGCTCTGAAAGAAGCCCATAAAATGTATTCCCTCTTCACTCACAGTCCTTCAGGCAGCTATCAAAGCAACACAGGTGATATGTGGAGTGCTTTCTCCCAACCCTGCGACGCGGCAGGGAAAGATAGCTGAGCCTGAGGCTGCTTCTCAAGGGGTGGAGAGATGGGGAGGGCAGGTAAGGAGAGACTGCTTTCTGCTGGCATTCACCTGGATCACACAGATCAAAGCACGCCCGAGCCTTGACACACAGATATGAGCCAAGCTTAAGGACTGCCACCTGTCACATCCAGGATGACAATGACACAATTTTCAGCAGTCTCTCCAAGGCTTCTCCCACACCCACCATCCAGCAACAAGCTTCTCCCATCACCCACCTCAGCAGCCAAAGTTTCTGAACTATCCCAAAGCAACATTACCCAGAGTTTTTTTTTCTTCTGGTGTTCCAGCAAGTTCCCATTCCGGTACCACTGGTAGGTGGGGGCTGGGACCCCCATGGCAGCACACTGCAGCTGTAGTGGCTTCCCCCCCTCCACCCGCTGCTCGGTGGGGTTGAGGACAATTACCGGTTCTCCTCGCCAGAGCTGAGGGGGCAGTCCTGTGAAGCAGTAACACAGAATTGGTCCTCCTTCCACAAGGACAGAAAACAATGGTCATTTTTTTCCCCTGCACAGGACTCTGTATTGCCAGAAAAGCGAGCTTCTTCCACCCGCACCAAGAGATGCCATCCCACAGGATGTCACCACTGCGCCTTTCTGCTCTGGAAGCAGGGAATCCTTGAGAGCTACACCCACGATAGTAAATGAAACACCAAAACCTCTGGCTCCCCAAACCTGACGCTCGCCCTTTCCTGCCAAGGGTGCAGTCAACATACCGAGGTCAACCACACCCAGAGTTAATTTTGCTCAGCTTTGAAATAGCCAGATTGCCTCTTCCAGTCCCTCTGCCCAACGCAAACAGGCAAACACCCAGGATAACCCTGGGAAAGCCACGGCGAGTGATTGGTAGGAGGAGCAGGTACATACAGCTGGGGTTACTGAGACCATGACGGGGACCTGAGCCATCCAGAGGATGGATGGAGAGGTCTGGCTTAGACCTGCAGACTCACATCCCTGGAGCAATCCTTCTGTATTATGATTTTCGAGCTGGGAGGGGACACAGCCCTGGGAACCACAAACGATGACTATTGTAGGGGTATGCAATGTCTGCACAAAACATAGAGAAAAGCTAGAAGATATGCCTGTACCTCTGGCAACACACTGATGGACCTCCACCTTCACCCAGTCAGAGAAGACGGCATTTTTGTAGACGTCATTGACTCTGCAGGTGTAGAGCTGGGTCTGCTGGGCAGTGATGGGCAAGTCTTGCTTGGTGGCACCAGGAATTGGGCGGCAGACAGACTAAAGGGAAAACACACACAGTGGTCAGTGAGTCCCCCTTCACCTCTGGTAGCAGAAGGCACTAGCAGGCCCCTTGTAAGAGCAGAAGTGGAAATCTCTGATTTTCTCTCCTCCCCCAGCCACAGGGATGCAGAAGAAGCTTTTCCATCACACAGCCCCTCATAGCACCTGCAGAAGCCCTCGGAGTGCACACACATCCTAACCCCCGCTCCTTCAAGCCTCCTGGTTCCCAGCAGGTCTGCCCGCAGGGGACCAGCTCCATCACCGTGGGGAGGGACCCAGACTGGCGCTGGGCACCACACTGCCCCTGCTCCCACCGTTACCTGGTGCTGACAGAACCACTGGTACTGCAGCGAGGTGCGTCCCTCGGCTCTGCACCGCAGGCTGAAGGAGTATCCCACGGGGACGGAGACGGACACTGGCTGCTCGGTGATGGTGATGGCTGTAGAGAAACAGGATGCGGAGCTGGAAAAAAAAAAGGGGGTTGCTCCCATGTCGGGCTGCAAGAGGGGATTCCCAGCACCCATCCCGGGAGGATTTGGCAAAACAGGGATTCTCGGCCTCCTGTGCCCAAAAAAAACTGGGTGGTCTCCTGAGGCCCAGCCGTAGGGGCAGCAGCACTTTTCGCCCCGCACGGCAA